TGTGAGCCCAGGCGCGCTTGTGCACAAACAGAGAACATGACTCTGCCTTGCTTAGCTTGCAGGAGCCCTCGGGCTGGAGATTCGCTCACACTTGGAGCAAGTGCTCCCCACTCGCCCCGCAGGGTGACTCGGGCTCAGGCTGGCTGCTTGCCCTCTCTGGGCCTCAGTTCCCCTTCTAGGACAGGGGGACTCGGGAGCCCCGCCCTGGATTAACCCTGGCCGCCTCCAGCCCTCGGTACCAGGTAGTTGTGGGTTTCGCGGCTGGATCTCAGGAAAAGTGGGTGGATCGCCACTTACACAAGCGAAACTGAGTTGCTCCCAAATTCCCATAAAGCGTGGAGTGGCCACGCCTGGGGAGGCGTCAGTTCCAGGAATGGGCGCTGGGGCACGTCCCCTGAGCTGTGGTGGCTGCTTGTCACAACTTGACAGAGAAGTGTTGGCTTCTTGTCTGCTCACTCGGATTCTGCGGCCCCGCACCCTCTCTTGCCAAGCGACTGGCCACCCGGTGGGGGACATCCACCCACGCCCTCCTCCTTTCTGATCGCCCCCCTGTGTGCTGTGCGCGCCACCTTGTCCCTGCCGCCGTCCCCTAAAATAGGGTTCTCCTGCCCTCAGTTCTTTTTGGTACTGGGGATGGAACCCAGAGCCAGATCACTGAGCTACAACCCCAGTTCTTTTTAAATTTTTTTTTTTCTTTTTTTTGAGACAGGGTCTCGCTATGTAGTTCAGGCTGGCCTTGAGCTCACTTTGTAGCCCAGGCTGGCCTCCAACTCACAGCGATCCTCCTGCCTCAGCCTCCCAAGTGCTGGGATTACAGGTGTGCGCCACCACGTCCGGCTAAATTTCATTTTTTATTTTGAGGTAGGATGTCATTAAATTTCCCAGGCTGGACTCCAACTTGAAATGCTCCTGCCTCAGCTTCCTGAGTACAGGGATCCCAGGCCTGTTGCACCTGGCCTAACGGGCACTGCTGTTGGGGTAGCTCTGTCCTGGTGTCCTGCCTGGCTCCAGGGCCCCTTTCCCGGGACTTGCTCCTCCCTCCTGCCATGGACCTTCCACCTCGGGTGTGCTGTGACCTGTCCCCTGGCCACAGGTCATCAATGCACGGCAAACACTAGTCCAGGCTGGCCTCACCCAGGTCTCTCGGCCAGGCATATAAAATTTGAAAGTGAGAGCCCCAGAGCTGAGTTCCATTTCTGCCAGCACTTCCGGGGGGCAGGCTATCAGGCTCTCGGTTCCTGGGGCAAAAGTCCCGGACAGCCCCGGATTCCCGCTCTACCCCGCCTCATGCACTGTTCTGAGTCCAAAGAGCAACTCGGCAGCTGTCCAACGTCAACTTCCCTCCTCACGCTGGCCAAAGTCCTCCGCTTTCAACAGTGAAAGATGAGTCTCACACACAAGTGGGCTCAGAAGATCGCATCTCCAAATGGGCCAGGCGTGGTGGTGCACACCTGTGATACCAGCACTCAGGAAGCTGAGGCGGAAGGATCATGAGCTCAAGCCCAGGTCTCACTGTGTAGTACAGGTTGCCCTTGAGTTCACTATGTAC